TTTATTTTATTTTGAGCCTCTGTTTCTGAGGATAGTGGATAGAGCCGGAAACAGATGACAGAGCGGGGAATGACAAGCAGTCAAGTGCTGAAGGTTTGAGACATACCCGGGACCGATACAAGACCAAGACCATTACCAAGTTGTTTGTTGATTTAGAAAGAGGGTTTTTTTCCTTCTAATCAGAAAATTAAAAAATGGAAAAATGGCCTGTGGTGGTCTTGACCGGTCTGGAGTCCGCCCAGTGTGATACCGAGACGAGGCCGAGTCAAAATGCTTGCGATTCAGAGACGTGACCGAGACCTTTAAAAAGCCTCGAGACCTTTCTTGAGACCGAGACCGATCTCCAGCACTACCCACTTAGACTCATTATAACCGAAAAACAAACCAATGGGTGATGTCACCGAGACTGAGGGAATTTAGCGCAAGTGATCAGCCAATCAAGGGGGCGGGCCATGACCCCTGTCAATCACTGACATTACAGAAGTGAATGGGAGAGGATGCCACAGTACTTGGGTTGTAAAAATGAAGACCATGCAGAGATATAACTTATTACATATTTAACCAAAGTAACAGTCTAAAAGTAGAACTTTTACGGGAGTATTTTTGTGTTTTATTAGAAGTTTAAATTCAGTAAGGGAGGGATGTGAAAAACTTCTTCCTCGTCTGTCATGCTGTGAGGCGACAGGCATAGAGTCTGACTCCCACATACAACAGAAGAAAGAAACAAGCACCCTCTGTGTCTCAGCTCCACGAACAGGGACCTCCTTTATGTGGACGTTTACACAGAGAAAACTGTAAAACACACCACGGTGACACACACACACACACACACAGACACACACACACTGTGACATCAGAGGAATACAGGACAGTGTGACTGAAGAGTCAGAGCTGCAGACACATGATTTATGTCCATGAACATTAAAGAGCAGACAGAATGTCCAAGAGCTGATTATACCTGGCTCAGACCGGTATCATATTTCAGTTTTCAGATTTCAAGTCTTTTGTTTCTTTTATGTTTCTGATGGATACACTGATAGCTTTGTCGTTCTGATTCTGTTGATAAGATTTCACTGATCGTGTGTATCTAATAGTCTGATTTAGTTCCTCATAAACAGCGCTACTCACTGACGTCTTTTTGGGAACATGCGTCTTGTAGTTTGACTTTTACTACTTCAAAGAAACAGATCTTTTCCAACACTGATATCCATCTTTTGTCCTGACCCAATCACAGGACTCAGAGGGAGAGAAATGTCAATAACTGAGCCCTATGTGAGAAAGTGTTTGATCCAGAGCGACGGAAATATCTCCTCCCTGACACCTTAACTGTTAACACTCGGTTTAAAACGCATTTGGGACAGCTAAGATAGCAATCTGTCCGTCATCCGTCTCCACTGCAGGTTGTCCAGCTGACCCCTCGTGTTCATTTGGTCAGCAGATTGCCAAAGAGAAGGTCAAAGAGCTCCAGAGGATTATTACGTAAGTTCGTCAGCAGCAGGAAAAGCCACAGATTTGTTTTCAAGAAACACAAATGTTCCAAGAAGTTGCCGTTCAAAAAATGTCACTTCAGGGAATCTTTTCCATTTTTTTTTTTACTTTCACGTAATGATGATGATGATAAAGATTTTCCTGTTGCTTCTTCATCTTAGTCACATTGGCAAATACACTGACAAAACAAACATGGTAAATTATTGTTCTGAACGCATGAACTCCACTACAGTCAAACTGTTTCTTTGGGTTCATGTTCTTGGAAAATAAAAACCCTTTTCACGCAGAGATTCCACAAAAGCGCTGCAACCTCAGCGCAGAAAAGGTGCAGTACCATTAGTGTCCACTCGAGGCAGACACTGAAAACATAGCAATCCCCATTAGCTCCTATATTAAAACACCCAATAAGGTGTTACAGAGAGAGAGAGAGTGGGGAATGTCATGTGGGAAAGGAGCCACAGGCCGGACTCGAACCTGGGCCGCCCGCGTTGAGGACTACAGCCTCCATAGATGGGGTGCGCGCACTAACCACTGCGCCACCAGCGCCACCTCTTTACCTAGATTGGTGAAAAGTTATGTGGAGTCAGCATTTCCAATATTGTGACTGCAATAAATAAGACTTCAAAACGTCTCTTCAGAAACCAATGTGTGACGTCACTGAAGCTACATTCAGGTGTTATACAGTCTGTGGTTTTTTACAAAGCTCAGCCATTATGTCGCGTTTTTTATTTCACACTCAACCAAACAGCACCGCCAAGTGTTGTAGTCGGGTCACCAAACCTGGAGTCAAGAGTCCCCAGTGAACAAGTCCTAGTCACCATAGAAAAATCTGAGTCAAGTCCCAGTAGAGTCACCATTATCTGATTCCCAGTAAACGTCTCAAAGCTGATCTTTAACTCTATCTGAGTCTTCATGTTTATACTGTACTGACAACGTTTAACCGATAAGTTGGCTAATTACTTCCCGACTATGTTCTCATGGAACAGCAGAGACGTACACCTGAGATGAATATGCCAGTGAGCCTCATTAGTCAACTTTGTGCTGCAGCTGATTTGAACATAAACTCATATCATGGTGAAGACTTTTGTTTTTCTGTTCCATTATTGAACACTGAACTGTGGTGGAAAACTTGTGGAACCAGCTCTCAATGCCTGTAAAGATCAGTCCGTAGTGTTCCTGATTCAGCAGCATGAAATAACACCGAGCGAGCAGACGTCCCAGTTACCAAACATCACATAAAGTCGTGTGAAGGCGGCACACCCACCTCAGCCCCTCCCTGCAGCACCAGACTGCATTTCATAGACATGTGACACAGTGAACATACACAGGTGCAAATATAGGATTCATGTCGGACACCAAATATAGACGGTGAGTCCGTCGCATGTTACAGCCACCGTGTGCAAATTCTTCAGGCTTTTTAAAGGTGTGCTGCAGGAGGAAGAAGGTCAGAAGGATCCAACAGACGGAGGTCAACATGCAAAATGACCTCTGGAGACTAACTGAGTCCAGAGTGACATCTCTGTGCTGCTGTTGGGAAAACCATATTTGCATGTCGGCTTATAGCCCCAGTAATATTCAAATGTAGCAACAACACAGGGCGCTCGCTGTGCTGTTAGAAACTGTTCAACATGTCAATAAAGCTGCATGAACAAGCCAACCCAGTAATCAGCTGATGTGCAAGATAAAGATGCTGACTATATTCGGGTGTCAAGCGGCTAAATGTTAACTCTGGCAAGGTGAGAGAGAATAAGGGTGAACATCAAACTGGAAATGCAAATAGCAATAAACTTCCTGAATCAATTAACAGATGTGCAAACAATCAATGACATGTTATCAATCAATACAGGGGAATTCTGAATGTTAAAAACTGAATGGACCAATTCTTAGCAAGAACCACCACCATAAGAACTCAAAAACATTAATGAAGCATTTTGGATTAAGTGAGGACATGTTGTAAACACAGGTGTTGTGTTAATCATGAAGAGCAGCAGATAAACAGAATTTTTTTTTTATATCTAACATTCAAGCTTCAATATTTGTTAATCGCACTCGTAACTTGATTGCAATGTAATCGCACATAATTTTCTAATACCGTTGAGCTCGAGTGATTATCCAGTTAAAAGACGACTGCATACGTTTTGGAAAAGAGCGAGATGTGGTGTCTGATATACAGGAAATGTTTAAGCTTACTGACAACGTTGCCATGCGTTCTAAACAAAACCCTTTATGACGACACATTTGTTTCTTGTGTTGTTTTTTTAGCCCAGCACGACTAACTTTCTCATCGTTTCATATTCAAATTAGACTTTTTTTCAGCTGCAGCCTGTAAAGTGATTTTTACATATTAGGTGATCATTAAGATGCTAAAGAAATGAACAAGTATGTCATCTGAATAGCTGTAAAATTTAACACCATGTCGTTATCTATTTAAATGAGTAAAAGCATATCTAATATAAAAATAAGAGGACCAAATATGGAGCCCTGTGGAACACCACATATAGTTCAATGGGTATCAACATGCTGAAACATGCCTACCACAATGTGATAACTGTATTGATCTCTATGTAAATGCATTAAACTGTCTCATTACGTGCTTTGTCCTTAAAACAACATGTGAAAGATGGAGGTCCTGCTAAGGATGCTGGTGACCTCATCACTCATGTAAACATAGCCTGAAGTCATGTTTGCATGTTGATGTCGTTAAAAAATATTAACCAGCCAATCACAGCAGCTTTTGAACTGTTTTTCTGTTGAGCTGTTACCAGGCAAACACTGAAATAAAATATTCTTATTTTCTAACAAATAAAACTGAATCCATTTTGTGTTTTGGACTGTTGATCGGATGAAACGGGGCAACTATAGAAAACAATTGTGTCTAATGGTTTAACTGTTGTGGTTTAAAGATTATAGAAAGGACTATTTTCCAGAAGCTTAATCAGTTGACATATTTTTTAAATGTTAGGAAATAGCAAATAAACAAACGGTTGCACATTATTGCAAGGATGTTGAACTAATTGATTTGCTGTTGACCCTTAACATATCTCATCTAAAAACCTTTACATGCCAACACCAAGTCTTGCCAACACCTTCTGTCATCTGTAATTTATAAACAGATTGGTCGATTAATTGATTGTTGTCAATAAATTTAGGTCTATTACAATCGTTAAATACAATGAGATATAAAGAAATCACTCATAAATGTCCCTGAAAATTCAATAAATAAAACAAATATAAGTTTTTTTTTAAATGCAATCAGAGTAAAATACATAATTTATAATCACTTATGTTAACCTTCTGCATTTCTTCTAAAAATTGACAGATATTTGTATTTAATTTATTTTGAGTTGGCTATTTTTGGAGCAATTAAACCTATTTTAATCTCTTACAGAAGTTGTAGATTTAAAAGCAGAATAAACAATATGAGCTTTGATTATTTCAAGTCAACATCCGTGCCATTATTTTTTGTTTAATAAACCAATTAACTCATCGATTACAGAATCGATCGATCTTACCTTCACTGGTGTCTCCTGGATCTTTTCAGCGGGTGTTATCGTCTCCACAGCCGGGGCAGGAGGCTCAGGTTTGGGCGCCGGTGGGAGATGTTGACCCAGAGCTCTGGAGGGAGGGATGTCATCTCCGTAGCCGACTTTGGGCTTCTTTTTCCCGGCTGAGGAGGAGGCGTCGGGCTTCTTGCTCAGGAGCGACGAAGCGAAGTAGATGGCGACGACGGTGAAAAGGATAGCGGGAATGATAACGGCCGGGTCCAGATCCATAATGGCGGATTTACGCAAGAAAAAGTTTATAAAAAGTTAAATTGTTTGTGTTCAGGAGCGCGTGTGTGTGTGTGTGTGTGTGTGTGATGGTGAGCAGGAGGAGGGTGTGTTAATCAGGCTGCAGTCACACACACACTGAGCTGAGTCCCGCCCCTTCGCGCAATCTAACCTGAACAGCTGTCAACACCAACACACGCCGCGAGGAGACCGCCCACTTCCGGGTTAGCGTCCAATCAGAAGCTCAATACCAATAATGTACAAAATAAGATAAAATAAAGGCTTTATTTGGCTTTCAAAATAATTTATTTTGATTTAAAAAACTTAAAAGTAGTGGATATAAGTTTATAAATCCCGCCCCTTCTCTATTAATCAGTCAGCTTCCGTATACATATAATTATATAACATAAACATTAATTTCCTAAGAGTTGATACTGATAATAATAATAATAATAGTTATTACCAATTTTCTTTTGCCTTACGAAATAAATATTTAGCACCAATTATCTTCATCTTACAAGTGTAAGCCTGGACACATTTCAAAGACTGTTTATAAAAATTGAGATAAACTCAGTGATGTCACCAATTGGTTTCTGAAAAAGACTTTTGAAGCCAATTGATGGAGGTCGCCTTCTTGGAAATGCTGCCTGAAACTAAATGTGGGTCAGCCAGTAACAGGAAAAGAAGTAGAGCTGAGGCGGGTCTTAAGCTGCAGCTTGAGAGAGGCTTCCTGCCCGCCCGTCAGGTCAGTCACGCCCCTTATTATCAATAACGCTTATCCTTCATAAAATAAAAAAAGAAGCAGAAAAAGTCGAAATACTCTCAGATTACAGATTCTGAAATATCATTTTTTATTTCTCTTTCTTGTCGATGATCAGAGTAAATCAACTTTTAATTTTGTACCTGTGTCGGAATAAACGAACCAAAAGATTTCATCCAGTTCAGCAGAACATGTAAGGTTCAGTTTGAAGATCGACCAGACAGAAAAGTTTTTAGTCATAGAAAAGATTTTATTGAACAACAAACTGAAGCGTCTCTTATCCAAGAATCAACATTTAACCCGGAGACAAGAACCAGCATCAGCGTCTGTTTTAAAGCTCGTCATCGATCGGTTCAGGGACGACAGAGACAGAAGGCACCGTGTGACGAAAACATCGTGCCTTTGATGACAGATTAAAAACACAGAAACATAAACCCCCCCGACCCCCCCTACAGGCAGACACATGTACTCCCCCTCGCTTCTTTAATAGGCACTTTAGTCAAACGCAACTGATTCACATGAACTTCACAAACGTTTGCTTTCTGCAGGACGTCACAGCTGATTTTAAAGGATTAACTGGATCAGAAAAAGCTTCAACATGAGCAGACTTTATACCAATCAGCAGCTTTTAACAATTAACAATTCATTATTTTAAAGTGAGTTTTCTGATTTCTATTGCAGTGACTGAATCTCAAGGTTTCCGACTGTTACTACAACAGAACAAGACCGATTTACAGTATTAGGATTTACAGATTTATGATTTTAGGAGAGAAATATAAACAAGGGAAAACATCATGACGCTGAACCTTTTGATTATTTCATTGTGAGTTAATCAGGTGATAATTTGAGTATACCCTGAAGTGTTTGCTCTTTTCTAACGGACAGACGCTTCTCCATCAACGTTTTTGATTTGAGATTGAAAATAATCTAGATTTTATTTAACACCTCTTTTGTACGTTCCCCCCTCCATGTTTGGATTATAGATGACAAAAGCCGGGCATATTTCTCAGCTGGTCTCATCTTGTTTTTGTGTTTCCTGATCCGCGTTAGTGGTTTGTGTTTATTATTTTCCTCCTAAATGTAAATAACAGAACATCCTAAATGCTCAAATTTTCAAATAATCTGAGCCGCTTCACAAACACATGCAAGATCAGGTTTTTATGTTCCGGTGCATTTGTTGAAATCTCTGCTTTTCACAACGTCAGAGACGATATCTTCAGATTTCTTGTTGTGTTTGACTCACAGCTAAAACCTCAGATTCAGTTCCCGTTCACAGGAGACAAAGAAAAACAAACAAACAAAGAAAAACAGAAAAATGAAGCTGGAGACATTTCTTTTGTTACAGTTGCTTATAAAGACACTCTAAGTATTATTGTTTTCTTATTGATTGACATATTCCCGCTCCAATCAGCCGATTCATTACTGAATACATTTGAGTCTCGATGACTTCATCTGAAGAAGCCGCCTCTTTGTCGTCTACAGTAAATCAATGATTAGTAACTCGTCTCTGCAGCTTCAACACGTCAAACGTTTAAAGATCTGCTGTTACTCAACAAGATGCATATCCTGAAAAAAAAAAAAAAATCTCAATAATGCCGTTTCAAGCTCCTCCCTCCATCTGGAGATTTAAACGCAGCAGTGCATTCTGGTGAATGTAGTGCCCCCTGCTGTCTGGTATTCTAACTGAAGTACAAAATCAACACAAGTGAGCGTGTAGAAACCTTGGGACAGCTCATAACACGTGCAGCACACAGAGGCGTTTGCTCATCCTGAAGTCTGAAGCTGCTGCTTTAGCATCATGATTAAACTCTTCTCACACATGCACTAAACTCCTGGAAATCTCAGGAACATTTTCAGGTTGGGCTGCTTGTGTGAACAAAAACAGCCAGATTTTTACACTCTTGACTTTGTCCTGATTTCTTTTTAAGACTTTTGTCAGCCTCTCTCCCGCAAGTCAGGGTGAGCTGATGTGTGAAGTGAACGCAGCAGGAAGTATTCAGAAAAAGGAGCAGGAGCAGGAGCAGGACGGGGGGGCGTTGATATCATGCAACCCGTAATGAAGGTGCTTTATACTCTTTCCAGGTGGCCAGTGTCTTCCTTACAGTTCCGTAGTTGGTATTTTGTTTTCATTTATCGTTTTAGCCTTTTTTAAAACTTTATTTTACCTAATTAATTCTATTTTTTACTTCTGTCTCTTGAAAGCCAAATCCTTCTGTTTGGCTGCTGATCATTTTGTCTGACGATGTTAGCTGCAGAAAGGGGCGCAGCATGTCGTCACTCCTGGAACATCTCAGTGTGAGTATCAGTATCAGACTGAGCTACTTCAACGTTATTTTTCAACGAGATTTTCATGCAACACTGCACGATGCGATCAGGCTTTTGTCAGCTCATGCTGCTAGTTTATACCTCTTTGGATCATGGAGTTAGATATTGTGTTTGTGCTGGTAAAAAAAACTGCACTGATATTTTTAAACAATGATCAAAGAAGAGAATCCCATTTTTTTTGTATTGAACCTCACTGGTGGCTGAATGTGTCCCAACCCTTTAAAAAACCCTCCTATTCCTCTATTTCAAACTGACATCACAAAGATTTGATAGCCCCCCGAGGAGTTCCCCTCCCCTTCCCCAGTTTGTAACTGGTCATAATCTCTCTTCATGTTTCCTCACATTTACAACCGACAGAGACAAACAGATAAAGATTCACGTTGAAAGCACAGTGGTGGCAGGCCTTACGCACATCCTCCTCCTTAAAAAAAATGTATCTCACTTCTCAGCAGCGGGCGGCCATCTTGTCTCTAAAGCTCATTCAGGAACTCGGCCATGTACCTAACCTGGACAGGAAGCAGCTGTTTTAGTGTGTTTGTGGGCGGAGGAGTCACAGCAGGAGGCAGGTGAAGGAGGGACGGGGACCGGACGTCACCGCGACGAGCTCCTCTCCTTGCTGACGCAGTCGTCCTGACCGCTGGTGTCCCCGTTAGCCGTCATCCCGCAGGTCCGCCTCTTCTTCCTGCGGTGGGACATGGCGTCCCCCTCGGAGCCCGACTCTGCCTGCAGGAGGCAGAGTGTGCAGAGTGTGTTATGTTATGGACATGTGTCACATGCTAGCAGCTGTTGGCGGGGCTAACTTCAGACGACATGTGTGAGGCTGATTTATAGAACCGGAGAGCGCAGCAGAGTGTAAACCTCAAACACACAACCAGAGAACACAACCTTTCTGTTTCATTACAACTTCATTTTGAGCTGCTCACATGTGATTACAGGAAAGACAGTGGACTGCACAACTTTGTGTTACCAACAAGGGAAGAGTATTTCAGCAACTATAAGAGAGAACGACGACTGCTCTGTTTATTTTTGCATTAAGAGAAGAAAGAAAACTATCATCATTAGTGCCATTTATTTTGTTGGCATGCCCCTGAGCAGGTATCTGAGGTTGTAACAGAAACACTTTACCAATTTATCAACTGGTGGACGAGCTGCACCGTCTCTACCACTCAAGTACATATCAGGAGTAATGTTTGTATGTCTAAGGAGGGGCGTAATCGACTGATCGATGACTCAGTGAGAAATCAAACATTTCAGTTTTTCTTCTTTGTGCAAGAAGAACAAAATGTCCAGTTGTATTCTACATCATATGAGAGTGCAACATGTTTGTGTGTGTGTGTGTGTGTGTGTGTGTGTGTGTGTGTGTGTGTGTGTGTGTGTGTGTGTGTGTGTGTGTGTGTGTGTGTGTACATACATCAGAGTCGGAGTCAGACGAGCTGGAGGAGGATGACGATGAGGAGTCACTGGAGCTGTCGGAGGCGATGCCCGTCGACTCCTGCAGGTCCACTTTGTCTGCCAGCACGGCGAGGTCAGGCCTCTCCTGCTTCAAGACACTGCAAGAAAAAAACAAACACAAGAAATCAGACGGCGTTAAAGCGGACTGACAAAGTCTGTAATGTAAATGCTGAACTGTTCTTTATGCGTTACATTAACGCCCACTGGACTTTAAAAATGTATCTTCCTTACATGCACTCTGTGAGTAGTTACACACACTAAGATTTTTTCTCATAGTCCACTGCACAGCTCCTACATTACACCTTTTGTACTTTTATTTTTTATATTGTAATATCTTCTTATTCTGTATTATTTAAGTTGTTGCTAGTTCTGCTTTATTTCCTTGTTAATTGTTCAGCACCAATACATCAGGTTAAATTCCTTGTTTGTGTAAATGTACTTGGCAATAAACCCAGATTCTGATTCTGATTCTGATTCTGACATGAAACCTCGAACTCCTCTGAAACTCTCGTCCTGTTTCTAAATGTAACCGTCGGTTGGTTGTTTTGGGATTCTTTATCAATGCTGTTTCTTCACGTGTGACATTTTATTCTGAAATGTTTGGAGAGGAT